TTCTTTAATGCTGGTAAGATTATATGGACAGTCACCTTTTAAATATCAAAAGCATTTGGTAAACTATCGTTTTGGGATGCAGGAAGCCAATGTAGGTTACGGGAAACTGGTGCAATATGACCAGACTTTGGCTTTGGGGTTTGGCTGAATTTTGAATGAATAATTGAAATTCTTTCCTTTTGATAGTTAGGCATTTCAAACAAATGTCAGTAATCGAATCTAGATGTTATGAAAGGCATGGCTCAGTTTATTGGTTTTCTCACAGTTTATAAGGTGAACATTTTTAGATGTCCGTTGGGAATTACATATTATGATTTGAACGTTTGACCTATAAAAAGAAAAGATATCATATAGCACATAGGTGTTTATTTGACATGCGTTTTCACACATTTATGTTCACGGCTAATGACAACATGAAGGTGTTTGTAACATAAGTATTCCTAGAAGATCTGGAAATTAAAAAAATCGATGTGAATCTTTTATATCTAATCCTAAATAAATAAATAAATAAATAAATAAATAAATAAATAAATAAATTAAAAAGGGAAAAGGAAATAACATAAATTAAAAGAAGCAAAAATGACGCCGTGTGAATGAATGAAATACAATGACAGTGTAGTATAAAAATGAACTTCTCTGAAATTAGAAAAGCCTCGGCATAACGTTTTGAACTTCCCTTTTCTAACCGATCTCTCCATGAATTAAACTCTCAGACTTAACGAAGTAAGAATCCAAACAGACAAAATGACCTGTCGTCAGTTTATTCGTCAAGCACTTGGACTTACTTGAGGACCTAGATGTACATGTACAACCCGTTTGTATACAGTCAACGCTATTGACATGAAAACTGTAGGTTATTAGGGCGTACATTTCGTAGAGATACGGAAGGAAGCAGAATGCTTCGTGGGCGTAAATGTTAATTTTAAATATTCATCTTCGCTGGTAGGTTTAGCTTATTTTGCCGTTTCATCTTGTCACTGATACTTTACAAAAGTGATGCAAAGTAGTAATGCCTATTAACGGAGTTACATAAAAATAGTGAAAAAAATAATCATAATAATTATAGTGATATGAAACTTATTAAACATTTTACCTGGCGGTAGCTTCTCCGCTTCTGTCGGCCTCGATAAAAATTTCATGTAATATCATAATCAGGCATGTTTGTGTAACATTCTGTTTAAGCTATACATTTTTCATGTCGGACTCGACAGCTGTGCATAATTCAAAACGCTATCAAGTTCTTTTGCACCTTAAACTCATAATTATTTTTGATTTTTTCTATTGAAAATTCTTAACTGTAAGCAAGTATTCAAAGTTGTTATTTACAAAGAAAAGGAAAGGGCAAGGGCAAAATGAGAGAGGGCGTTTTAAATGAACTGGGGACAGCATGCAAGTAAGACCTCTAAGTCGCACTTCTAGTTGAGTTAGGTCGGCCATACTTGGCGCGGCCCTTGTCTGTAGGTCGTCTGCGTATAATTAACTCGCTGCAGGAAATGATGCTGGGGGATGGCAAAAGGAACGACATCTTAAGGTGGACGGTCTTCTTAAAGTATTGGTTGGCCTACCAAGTAAGGTATGCCAAATGTGATTTAAAACACGGCGAAGATTTCAGAAAGATTGAACGTTTGCCACTCAAATCCTTCAAATATCAAACGAAATAAGTTAAGGGCCGCTATCATTTTTATTATTTCTGAATACCGCTAGTCTATCGAGAGAGAGAGAGAGAGAGAGAGAGAGAGAGAGAGAGAGAGAGAAAGGAAAAGAAAAAAGAAAGAAAAAGGACACACAAATATAACCTTTGCAGTTCCTCATGGAGAGTGCTACTGCTATCTTAACGGTAGATATACCAAGAGTTCGGGAAAACTGAAGCGTTCTCGGTCACTTCTCTTACGGTGACAGCACGTTTATTTTATCGTAGTGCAACGACCTCATGGCTATCAAAAACATTTTCAAAAATAATTGCGTGGTGTAATTGCATTAAGACCCAAATCTGTCAAGGTTTATTTCTATGGGCTCAGTCCCAGTGAAACTATCGTTCTACGTGGATTGTTCTATGTAGATCGATCCAACTCCGTAGGTGCAGTATAACTATGGCATCATTGGGAATGATCCCTTCCTCTGTGAGTGATCTGAGGGCGACCTATGACCCGTAACGTCGTGTTTATCCGTTGTAACTGTCTCATAACGAGCGGATTGCGTGACAAGAACACTTAAAAACGCGAGACGATTGCAGGTGCATAATGCATCAACACACCTGATATAAACGTGCCGCCACTGTGCCAGTTCCTAGCCGGACTATACTGCAGTCACCCTTCCTTATAACCTGTCGTGCGTGTGTAGCACATCTGTTGACATTAATGGCACAATTAAGGAGACGTAACATAATTTCCCTGTAACAGACCTGTAATTATACACCTCAAGAAGCAACAGGTGCACGCGTTTCATCTGTCTACAGTGATTTGTCAATTATCAACACTCAGTCTGTTTACTTGTTTCATGGAGTTTAACCTTTGGTCACCTCTGTGTGATGGTCTGAAATCATTTGTGAGATATCGTTCATCGTGAATCACGACCAAACTGTGGTTCTTGCGACCATTTTTATTTTTTTTCCTCTCTAATAAGGACAAAACAATCACCACCAGAACGTTCTCTGTATGGCTTAGCTGAACATGTCATTCAAAACCCGGAGACTTCTTCAAGCGTGATCAAGAGCTTAAAGCTCTTATTTTATGAATATTGACTTTTTTGACTAAGTGAAAAAAAAAACAGGCTATAAGACACTTCAGAGGCCCTGTAAATACCCATTTACAATGCAAAAGAAAGCAATTTGATTTGAGGCTGTTAGTCTTAAATGATGTATTCTGTCATAATTTGCACGCGCAACAAATTATACGGAATTTAAACAATTCACCTCTTTTCACAGCATCAAGGCAATGTAACGCTTATACCTTTTTCGAAAGTAAGAAAACAGTGTCGAGTCGGTTTTAAAAATCATAATGTAATACCGATATACTATTCTGTCTCATGGCAGTTACAGAAAAATCTAAAATGAGAGAACATATCTGACATTTCGACATTTTTTAAGCATTTATAAATTAAATTGCTACTGAGATATAATGTCTTATTAATCTGTTCTGAAAATTCACATTGGGAATCAACAGATAAACGGAACTTTGGCACGTACAAAGGATATCAATTGTTCATTTTCTTGGAATGATTTCATTATTTTGATGAAAAATTTATAAGATATGATTTGGTTTAATAGAAATACACCGCTATGACACACGAGAAGCAGTCAATTCTATATTAGCAATGCTGTGACATTCGTCTCAACACGTTTATTTATTTAAAGCAAAAACAAATTGTAATTACAATACAGGCGTGTTATTGTTATCTGAGTCTAGCATTTTTCCTCCTCAGTGCCATAAGCTGAAGAGTTGTATTTCAATCAATTCTTTTCAATTTTTGAAAAATAAAAATCCAGTTTCCTGCCTTCCTCATTCGTGAGTTACGTTTCCTGCTTCTATTCACTAATTGCAATTTGATAGGACTTTTAATTTTAGATAGAACGTAATATCAGCATGTTTTTATTAGTTATTACAGAAGGTGAGCCCAATGAGGATATCAGTGTTATTAATAGGACTGGTTGCGCAATGTAAGGCACCCAATTTGAAATTTACATCATTCATTACTCTCGGAAATAACTAAAAAATCAGAACACTATTCTATAAAAGCTTGTTTAAAAATTTTTCACTGGAATTCACTACTTTGCAGGATTTAGTCTTCTTTGAATTTCAGTCATTTTCTCCATATAAGCAGCTAACACATGCACAATGTGCTGTAGATAAAGTATAAAGTTTTCCCTTTTTCAAGTGAAAATTTTCTTTAAATGGTAATCCCATCAAGTGTGTGTAAATTTGAAAAAACAAAAACAAAAACAATTGATATTGCCATCATGCCTTTTGGACCACGTCCAACGACTACTGACATTGCCTCCAAAGACAGACTCTAACAGCGCCTTTTTTACTTTTATATGGGAGGAAAAAATGAATTTACCCAGAACTTTCACCAATTTCCCGTCATTACCAGGTTAGTAAGATTTTTTTCAATAATACAACTCAGGATGAGGCACGCTTTCAGTTTAAAAAATCAAAGTATGACAAAAACCATTGCCCTCGTTTTTTAAGATTCGGAATCTTTATCTTCGACTATACCAAGTGGGACTGCTTTCCACAAATGATGCTTTACTGCTCATACAGGACATTTTTCCTCATGCAGGCTAAATAAGATTGGTAGTGACAGAGGGTACTAAGCAAATCTAAAGATACAAATAGATGTGAAGATCAAGCTGGGCAGTCGGTAATCTTTTGTACACCAGACGTCAGGTTTTTATTTCATTTGTAAAATCATTTTATCCTAGTCCAAGTCTGACATGTTACGTTACATAAGCTGTCTGTATGTTATATAAGCTGTAAGTTACTGGTGAATGTTTGAATGTTGAACAGCAAAGTGATCGTTCTGATTCATCAAGTGATATTAAACTAAGATAATGAAAACTTATCAAGACATTCAGCGTCGGTTACAACTCAAAATTAGTTCACCTGAAGAAAGCCTCGTGATATGTCGAGACGACGTGATCTCTTGTTTCAACGTTAGATCCTGTATTAGAATAAATTGACATCAACATTTAATACCCGTTGACGTCACTACACGTTTCCTTTTTAATAAATGAAACTAATCTAATGCTGAAATCTGGTTGCGTTTCCTTTCACATGTAAAATCAAACATGACATCCCCCAGATCGCGTGTTGTAATAAGTTTTATTCAAAACCGCGTAAAATAAAGAAGCGGCAATGCAGTCGTTGTTGTTTTCTACCTGTGAGGTACCAGGCAATATATAGCCTAGTTGAACAACACGTTTAATGCCGTATTTAGCCATCAAATGAAATAACATGAAACAAAGAGGTAATTTATAAAAACAATTTTATGAAAATCGTGTAGTTGGTAAGCTCCAATAACAATGTTTAACGTACACTTACATTTTCTGTGCGTACACCGTAAGTTTGTCCAACTCTTTTGTATAACGATTATACCTTAGATAAACAATATTTACCACGACAGAGTTAAACTTTCACAAGGTGTTTTGACTTGGATTCTCTCTTGTTTATAAATAATGAGTATACGCGACTTTAAACCTCTTCTCTGTTGTTCCACTCGCCGGAAGTCACCAGGTCAGAATATAAACTTAAACATAAAACGCACATCATTTTAATTAGAGAAATTAATGAAAAAAATGACATAACAACATATTTACTGTATTCTGTCTGTTAATAGACAGGCGACTGAAGGCGTGTTTTAAGTAATGAAAACAATTGATACAGCCCAATAGCGGCTGGTTCGACTGGTGATTGGTCGTAAATCAATTTTCTAGTATTATTAATATTGCTATGCATCCTAGGCCCCATTCAGAATAACCAGTACGAGGGCCAAACATGGCCCACTTGAATACTTCCCTATGGGATATCTATTCAGTGTCTATTAGCGGATAAGAATGCAATCTTTTTAGTGGGTCGCCATATTTGACCCTCGGACTAGTTAGTACCCTATTCGGCCCTATACTCTCTGGGTACCAATGCAATATATACACAATACAAAAGGTGTAAATCACAATAAGAATATATCAATGTATACAAAGTTATGTATATGATTTAAAATGTGCTCTGACGTATATGTATATAACATCTCGAGCCAGTTTGTTATATGGCTGATGTCCTTAATTTCAGTTTCAGTTTCGTTTTCCAAGTGACCACACATGTTCACGGCCTTTGGTCACCATTAGGGACTTTCCGGCGTCCTCTGCCAGTTACAATATCACTTCAAGCTATATCACATTTAATCTGAAACTCTAATCTTTAATTTCCTCTTCGACATGTTATGCATTGGACACATTCATACACGACTTCCCTCACACGAATCATTGGGAAACTTCAAGTTGACGCTCCGGTAGCTTCGGAAAGAGCCTCCGCCGCGGGGGATGCTTACCTCTCCCGGTTCATAATTAAACCTAAAGAACGGCAAATAGTTCTTCACAAATTTCAAAACCATGTGCTTCATTGTCCGTCGGAACGATCTGTTGATGATGCAGTAGAGGATGAAGTTGATTGAGAAGTTGACTGACTGCATAAAGTTTGTGATGACTTCTACGGACATGTAGGCATGGCTGAATTGTAGCGTACTGTCCAGCAGGACTACCTGTTTGATGAGTTCGGAGGGCGCCACGAGAGTGAGAAACAAAATCACAATGATGATCAACGTGAGGGTTATCTTGTTGTTCGATTCCTTCACGTGTTTTCCGTCTTTATAGCCACCGTACTGCCTTCTGAGGACGGTGGATTTCCTAATCCCCCGCACGAGACACACGTTCGCGTACACCAGTATAACAAGCGGCAGCAAGTTGCCAAAGATTGCCCAAACACCTCTGTATGCTTGGTCGAATGTGTCGGAAAAAATTATTTGTTGGTCCAGTCTAAAGTATGTAACATTACCCGGGCATTCTACAGTCTGTATAGTGTACCTCCAAAACACTGGAATGTTAAAAAGGACAGAGAAAAGATAAATAAGACCGATCGTGAGGCGGGTCCCTTTCATGCTGAGCATATATCTCGATTTTAAAGGGTGGCAAATGGCCACGTATCTTTCCACTGCGAAAACGACGGTCACCCAAGTGCTCGTCATGATGAATATGTTGATGACCGCGGCACAGTTTTGAGTGTAGTACAACAGGAATCCCTTCTTTTCGAAGACCATCTCCAGTGGAACGAAAGTGGTCATGAAGGCAGAGATACAGAAGAGCAAGTCGGAGCTGGCGAGAGCGATGAGGTAAATGCTCGCAGCCTGCTCCATTTTCATTAGAGACGTTTGCAAGCGTTTCTGATTGAGCACCGCCAAATTTAAGACGTTTCCCAAGAAACCAAACACGCAGATCATCGGCAATCCAAAATGGTAGAAGATGTGGTATATCTGCTCGTACACTCGCACCTCCAGTGTTTTGTTCTGGTCTATACTGTCCGACATGTTCGATATGTTCCCGCATGGCATTTTGAATAGCGGAGTTCTAACAGACGTCGCCAAATACCATCCATCCGAGTGGACGGACCATTTTTCTAACAAAGTTGAAGTAAATTCACGCCAACCTTACGTTTGCTTTACAAAAAAGCCCTTATTAACGTTTTGGTATGCAGGTTTCAAAAACCAGTTCGACCAAGGGATAAAACACAACGCAGAAGTGTCCACTTCCTCATATCTAGTGAGTCCCAGAATCACGCCTAAGGTCTAGTGGAATTTAAACCTGCGCAAAAGCTAGTGTCAAATGATTCTCCCCTTTTAATCCGACCATTTCTTTGGATCTCTCCCAACTGAGGATATTCAATCCCACATATTCGCCTGTTATGACACACCGTTGTCAGGAAGAGGATTGGATGATTCCTGTGTTTAATGAGCAATTTTCATGTCAAACGTATCATTTGCGACAACGTATACTGCAGGTAGTGAAGGATACACCTAGCATTAATATGCTCGTGTTCCTAAATTAATCAAGTCGATGAATTATTTTTTGTGGTTAAAAATATTCTAAAATTCCAGACAATCGTGCTAATCTTTTGCAATCCTATCCTTCTTTTAGCAGAAGAATATCATTTTCTTTTCTTTTCCTTCGAGGGGTGGATGACAGCCGACTTCAATGTGTTGTCTTAGCTTTTTGTCCTTGGCAATCGTTCGAAAAGTAACATCAGATTTCGCTGAAAGACAAAAGATACAGATTTGCCATTATTTCATTGCGTCACACCACTTACAGCGTGAGAATTGTCACTGCGACAGTAAAAAAGTAAAAAAAAAATAAATAAAGGCACATTTAAAGACTTAACAAAGAATTGATTTTATGATAAAGCGAGTCAACATAGTTTTAATCGATCTTTTATACATTTCCTTTTTTAACCAACAAAGTTTTTTAAAATTAAACAAGAAATTGCCCAATAAAACATTGTTTTAGTGTTTCCTAGCACGATTAAATAAGAAACAATACAAGGATCAAAACTTCACTAAACACAGTAGATTTTTTTCATTTCATTTATTTTTTTTTAATTAAGTCAACCTGCAATCGAATGGAAATTCTTGTAAATAACATATAATGTACATTTCCTGCCTCCTTCTTAAGTTGCATTTTTCTTATTATTTCAAAGAAATTTGTAATTGATTGTAATGATTTCTAAGAAATAGGTAACGTGAGAGGATTTTTTCCCTTTCACTGACACCTTAACCAGGACGAAACTCCATTAAGACAAACCCTTTAGATTAAAACATAACATGGGATTTAAACATAGCATATGGTACTTTTTTTCCCTGAAATTTGATTTTAATTGAAAAGGGATAATCGCAGCGGTAGGCAGTGTAATGTATGACGTCAGAGCTAGATCCACGAAGTAAAGAATAACATGCAAAGTAGCTCGTCGCCTTGCTTTGAAAATGCACTACGCACAGAATTGGGACCAGTATAATTTCAATGCGATTCTTTCTTATTGAGACACATTGGGATTTGCCTTTTATTTCAGCCGAGGAGACAGCAGAATCAATAAGCCATGATACGTGCCTGGATGGTTTGTTTGCAAAATGTCTTTTGAAAATATGCGGTGCTGTTTTTTATATATTTGTTTTTAAACAGAGGGCGGTCTCCCCAAGCTTCACGTGGAGCAAGTATTATGGTATTGTGGTACAGCTTATCAGGCGGGACTGGCATAATGGATACACCTGAAAAGCATATATATAGTTAGGGTCTATTTTTAAAAAAGTCTGCAAAATATTTGTGTCTTAGACCTTACACACACACAAACACACACACACACACACACACATTAAAAGTCTGCTCCGTCGTTTTTGGCTCTTTTGACCGAGGCCCTCAGAGCACAAGTACATTTATTGTAAGCCAATCTGTTTTAGAAGATGTCAGACCAACATCACAAAATAATCGTTCTGTAGTAGGCTATCTGATTTAAGCAGTCTCAGCTTAGACCGAGATATTTTGAGTGAAACAGGCATCGGAGGCACAGCAATAGGCTGGTAAGGGTAGTGACGTCACGTGCAATAGGTCTAGAGGCCCGGGTGACCCGAGTTATTGCGAGCCGGCCTCCAGTGAGGGCAAACTGCATTTCAATGACCTTTTTGTCGGACGGCCTTCTCGTCGGCCAGCCAAGTCCAAGTTAAAGATCCCCAGAAACTTGGCACCTGTTGTCTTCTTTTGAAGCGCAAACCATTTAGAGGTTAAACCAAGGTATTGAAAGGTTCAGGGTCGCGTTTTTTGCGTGACGCGGCTGTTAACTCTATAAAAATGAAGCTGCGAAGCGCGTCAAGTTGACCGTATGGGTGAACTTGAATGCTCCCAATGGTACTAAGAAAGACTCAAACTGTGCCAATAGCAAGGGCAGTCAGTTTCCTAGCATTCTAAAATACACAAAGAATGTAAAACTTTCATCCAATTGGAGGCTGCAGTTCTGGAAGCAAGGATTTTTGTGTTCATCATTGTGTTCACTTATGAAAGGTCTTGTTACTTCGCACGCGGGCTTTCTGTGTGTGTGTGCGCGCACGTGCGCGTGTGTGACCCTCATTGTTTTGTCACATATTCACCAGTGGTCCATTAAAATACTCATGTTTTTATACCGTTATCAATATCACACCGACGTCAACCCTGACTAAGTGCGCCAAAGTAAACCAAGTAGTTCTTCTAAGTTTACATATAATCTTTGGTTGAACCCGAAGTGACACGTACTTGGAAATATCCCCATAGAACAAGTATCACACCTTATCACCCGAGGCGTGATTTACTTCAATAATTTCATTTTGATATATGTTGGCATCATGTTAAATGTTTACTGCTACTCTGACAAGAACCGAAGCCTTGTCATTTCGGTATTTTAAAGGCAAAGGCAACAAAATAGAAGAATAAAAAGAAGAAGAAAAAAGAAGAATATATCGTAATCTCTGTTTGCATCTATACCGAGAAAAATTGCAGTTCCTTTTTTCGAACTTATGTTTTTATGCAATTTTCTGTAACTTACGGACCCTCAAAGAAAGTTAATAAGTAACTTTAAATTGAACTCTAAAGACTTACGAAAGTTGATTACCTTTTATGTTACATCCGAATATTACATTTGACATAGATGAAGATGGTTTTTCATTTGTTCTAGTACAAAATTTATATGAATAAAATAAGTGAAATGACCATAAAATCAAATACAATTAGGTTCACGGAGATTTAAGTTTATAAGATTATAATGCAGTGATTATATTGACGATGAAATTTACCTGCCGTTTACGAATTGACTTTCCACGGATCACAGGTGAACATTTGCGACCGCTCAGTCGACTGCTTAGTTCGGATTCGACGGTAAGATATTGCCTACATACACTAACTAAAAAAAAAACACCTTTGTCTTCAGTACGTACGTGGACATTTTTTTCGGAGGAAATACTGTCAGGTCGAAGGCATTTGCCAATGTACACGAAAAATCGAGAAGATTTTACAGGTTTCGAGAATGTGAGAAATATTGAGTTTCCGAGAACACGACCTCTGGTTAACAAGTACGCAATAGCCTTGTAGGTAAACCGTACAAATGCATTGTCTTACGCACACATGTGACAGCCTGTTTTATTACCTTAGAGCCCTATTACGCAATCACAGGCTGTTGTCTACGTGCTGAAAACGTTTACATGGGATTTCTAAGGAGTTACATTTCTAGTTAACACTGTTGTTACATTCGTGTACTTAATAAATGAAAATGTTATGCTATTGGTAGGCATCAATTCCATTGCTTTAGGCCTGGTAAACAACATGATTTTTCAATTTATCTGTAATTTTAGAAATGTCATAAACGCGCTATTTCATAATAGCTGGTCCTTCGGAAGACTTTGCAACAATTGTTGTTTGCCCGTCGGAGAATAATTACGATTCTTTAGAATGCAACTGATAATAAGAAAAAACGACAGTACAATCTGTAATATGAGGTTGAAAAGAAACCTCCAAGGAATAAGCAAAAATGTTCATTGCTCCAAGGAATGGTTTTCACTAATTTTGTTCAGCGAAACAAATTTCCGACACAGAAATGATTATAATAATTATTACCTTAATACCGCAAACATCCATTGAAACTCGTCGCTTACACATGCGGGGGTATGTAAGGCATTCAACAGACTTCCTCTTAGAAATTATATTGCTGAAATAACACCCATGGGTAATATATATATAGCAATAACGCAAAGGCAAGACGTCATGATAGACCCTGAAAATAATAATTAGACATTCCGTCTTACCAGTTAATCCTATGTTAATTATTCTATAAATCCCATTGGCCATGACCTAACTTTTCTTGACAAAATAAAAAAAAATGAATCAAAGACTAACCTACTGACTAATTCCTTCAACCAACTTGTTACTGTGTTACTAATACTGCAGTTTTGCTAAAATCACCTTATCGTTTTTACATTTGCTAGTGCCTGTTCTTTTTCTTTCTTTCTTTCTTTCTTTCTTTCATTTATAACCCTCATAGAACGCAAATCTAACCAATGGAAGGAGATACCTGATTTGCTCCTCTCATAAATCTTTTTTTAATCATTTGTTTTTTTTGGAATTATTGGCTGCTCTATGTACGTAAGTGATGACAGGCAATACGTGTATCGCAGGATATTGGTTCCCTGCGACCAGGATACTGAATGGAAGCTACGTCAAGAAGGTGCTCTTAGGTTAAGGTTGATTGCGTAATAGGAAATCACCAGCACGAATATATTCGAAAATACTCAAGTTGAACAGAATATATAGCATGTTCTACGGACGGTGGTTTCAAGTAATAAGCTATCCTGCTCTAGAAGCCAATATCCTAAACTCTATTCGCTTCAGTTTGCAGCAATATCGTTAATCGTTCCAGGCACCTTTTCCTTTCCAGGGTATTGTTTCTCCAGTTATCATTATCAAAATGTTATGAACCGTACCATGACTGTTCATGTAAAAATTTAATATCCTTGCATCTACCGTAAGCAGTTTATTAGAAGCAACAGAGAAAAAAAACTCAAATATGTAGAGGAAAGGATTTGATGCGGTTCAACTTAGACACTGAGTGGTACCCATTTCCGCTAATCTAATTACTTGGGCTTGCAATGAATCTAAACTTAATGTTTCCAATAATTCTTTTTTTGGCGCATATTCTTCTTAGAGTTTTGTTTATTACACACTTTGAAATAACCCAATTCTTTAATTTTGAACTTAACTTGCACATATTGCTTTCACTGACATTGCTTAGGGGATGGAGGGAGGGGGGGATTCGTTGGTGTTTGCCTCGTTTTGCTTGCTATTCTTCTTTTAGGGGGAGGAGAAGGGGTAAAGTGGGAACCTCGGTAGTATAGATGGGGGCAGGTGCCTTGTAGCTTAGGCCGCATTCAAACCAGTTGATCTGCGGACTAACAGATCCGCGGATCAAATATGGCCGACCCCCTTGAAAGTCTGATCAATCAGACAAAAAATCCCTAAATAGACACTGAATGGTTTACCCTCGAGAATTACCTTCCAAGTGGGTTTGGCATATTTGATTAGCGGATATTTATGCGAGATAGGGCCATTAACCTTGACCAGTTGTACAATGAAGGTGCCCTGAACTACCATAATTTGTCTGCGTACATCCTTGGCGGAGGTCTGCGCTTTTCGAGTGATATTCTAGTTATCATACACTCTTATTCTATTTTAACGCGCCTCCTTCCA